AAGTACAGCACCCATTTATGATCAAAACACTCAGCAAAATGGGAATCAGGGGGGCATTCCTCAACATAATAAAGGTCATATATGAAAAACCTACAGCCAACATCATACTCAATGGGCAAAAACGAAAAGCTTTCCCACTAAGATCGGGAACACGACAAGGATGTCCGCTTTCACTACTTCTATTCAATATAGTTTTGGAAGTCCTAGCCACAGTGGTCAGACAGGAAAAATAAATAAAAGGCATCCCAATAGGAAAGGAGGAAGTAAAACTATCATTGTTTGCAGATCACATGATAGTGCACCTAGAAAACCCTGTAGATTGCACGAAAAAACTGTTCAACCTAATAAGTGAATGCAGCAGAACAGCAGGATATGAAGCCACTATTCAGAAATCAGAGGCATTTTTGTACACCAGCAATGAAATAGAAGAAGAAGAAATCAGAAAAAAAAAATACCATTTGATATAGCAACAAGAAAAATAAAGTACCTAGGAATAAATTTAACCAAGGAGGTAAAAGACCTGTATGCAGAAAACTGTACAACATTGAAGAAAGAAATTAAGGAAGACACAAATAAATGGAAGCATATACCGTGCTCATGGATTGGAAGAATTAATATCATCAAAATGTCCATATTACCCAAAGCAATTTATAGATTCAATGCAATCCCTGTTAAGATACCAATGACATATTTCACAGAAATAGAACAGACATTTCAAAAATTTATATGGAACCATAAACGACCCCGAATAGCCACAGGAATTTTGAGAAAGAAAAACAAAGTAGGAGGGATCGCAATACCCGAGGTCAAACTCTATTACAAAGCCACTATACTCAAAACAATCTGGTACTGGCACAAGAACAGACCCATAGACCCGTGGAACAGAATAGAAAGCCCAGAAATAAGCCCAGGTCTCTATGGGCAACTAATATTTGACAAAGGGGGCAGAAGCATAAAATGGAATAATAATAGCCTCTTCAACAAATGGTGTTGGGAGAGCTGGACGGCCACATGCAAAAAATTGAAATTGGATCATCAGCTGACACCATACACAAAAATAAACTCAAGATGGATAAAAGACTTAAATATAAGTCGCAACACCATAAAAGTCCTAGAGGAGAACATTGGCAGAAAACTCTCAGATATCCCACGCAGCAATTTTTTCACCTATATGTCTCCTAAAGCAAGGGATATAAAGGAAAGAATAAACAAGTGGGACCTCATCAAAATAAGAAGCTTCTGCACAGCTAAAGAAAACATCAGCAAAATGAGAAGGGACCCAGCCATATGGGAAAATATATTTGCTAATGATACATCAGATAGAGGTTTGATCTCCAAAATAAATAAAGAACTCACTCGACTCCATTCCGAGAAGACAAATGATCCAATAAAAAAGTGAGCAAAGGACCTGGGCAGATGCTTTTACAAGGAAGAGATACAGAGGGCCCAGAGACATTTGAAAGGATGCTCAGCATCACTAGCCATCAGAGAAATGCAGATCAAAACCACCATGAGATACTACATCACACTGGTCAGAGTGGCCATCATAAACAGATCAACAAACAACAGGTGCTGGCGAGGCTGTGGAGAAAATGGAACACTAGTCCACTGTTGGTGGGAATGCAGACTGGTGCAGCCATTGTGGAAAGCAGTGTGGAATTTCCTCAAAAAGCTGAAAATGGAACTGCCTTTTGATCCAGTGATTCCCCTGCTGGGACTATACCCTAAGAATCCCAAAACATCAATTCAGAGGAACCTATGCACCCCAATGTTCATAGCAGCACAATTTACAATAGCCAAGTGTTGGAAGCAACCTAAATGTCCGTCAGTAGATGATTGGGTCAAAAAACTATGGTACATTGACACAATGGAATACTTTGCAGCAGAAAGAAGAAAAGAACTACTAAACTTCGCGACAGCGTGGATGGAACTAGAGAGCATTATGCTAAGCGAAATAAGCCAGGGGGCGCAAGACAAACACCATATGATCTCACCTTTAAGTGGAACCTAACCAACAATACAAAGATGCAAGGAAAATAAGACCAGTAACACTGAAAGGAAAAGAAACCAACAGAGACAAGAGGGAAGGAGAGAGGAGGGGACGGTGGGGAAAGGAAGGGAAGGGGCAAGTCAAGGAACATACAGCAAGGACTCATAGACAAAACCAAAGTGGGGAAGGATTGAGGAAGGGAGACGGGGGAGAGGAGCAGGGGAAAGTGGTGGAGGGAAGGTGGAGACAAATGTATTTGAAAAAAATTAATTAAAAAATAGATATTTAGGTTGTTTATAAAAAATATAAACTTGTCTCTATTTCCAGTGCCCCTCTTATATTTGAGGCTCTTTTTTTTCAGTCTAAACTGTTAGTCCCTTAGTTTTTTTCTTCATCTTTTCTTGCCGTCTTGCAGTCTGTTTTCCATACTTTTGAGTGAACAATGCTGTGATAAGCATTTTGTAAATATATCTCTGTGTACATGTTTGTTTATTTTTACTGAATCTTAGAAATGGAATTGCTTGATCCAGTTTATGCATATGGGTTTTGTTTTGTTTTTCAAATCCTCACCTGAGGACATGCTTATTGATTTTAGAGGGGAAGGGAGGGGGGAGAGATGGAGAGAAACATTGATGTAGGAGAGAAACTTTGATATGAGAAACATTGATTGGCAACCTCTTTTACACACCCTGACCAGGGACTGAATCCTCAGCCTAGCCGTGTACCCTGATGGGGAATCAAACCTGTGACCTTTTGGTTAATGGGATGATGCTCCAATCAACTGAGCCACACTGGCCAGGGCACATATGGAAGGTGTTGGTATATACAGGATAGGGCAGAAGTAGGTTAACAGTTGTTAATATGAAAAATAATACAATAATAAGTAAATAATAATTATAAAATACAAGGATAAACTGTTTTATGTACTCACGAATGTAAACCTACTTTTGTCCCACCCGGTGTTGCAAGATTGTCCTCATAAAGATGTAAAAAAATTTACTATTATTGTCACATATGTGTTGGTCCCATATCCCTACATTCTTGCCAACAATCTTTTAAATCTGATGTTCTTGGAAATCCCTGATCTTACTAAACATGCTCATCTATTACCCGCAAATATTTATGAGGTCGCTGGGGAAAGGCTTAAGATAGGTATTGCAAATATCTGTAATACTGTTGTTTCCCTTTCTGAGGCTGTACCAAATTGCAGTGGTTGATATTGTCTGAATTAACGTTCTTAAGGACAGATACAGTATTTTAGATTGCAAGGAAGCTCTTGAGTGATTAAGGAAGAACCGTAACAGAAGAACACAGTAGTTGACTGAGTCCACTCAGTTCTGGGATTTTTTTGTCACACTGATGGCTGGGTGTAGTGGAAATGAAATGTTAATGATTTTGTTGTTTCTATAGTGGGGGGGGAGGAACCAGTCGAGGGCTGTCATTTCATAGGGACAATTCAATTTTGTGCTCCATTAAGGGAATCCCTCCTGTCCAGAAGTACAGATGTTGAGCTTAAAGCAAAACAAATAGAAATGATAGAAGTTAGCAAGACCTCAGATAAGATTAGAGGCCTTATATATGCAAAATATGCTTTTAATTTTGCACATACTGCCTAAAGAGAGATATTGGCTGTGTATACTTTGCAGGTCTCACTTTTGTGGTTTTCTTATTTTTTTTAATTCAAGCCAGGATATCAGCAATGTTGTTTTGAATCTTCTTTTAAGGGCAATTTATATAATTCCTTTGGCTGCTAAGTAGAAAAGTTTGTTGTTGGATGTTATAGTTTGGTTATGCTATAGCTTAACCGAGTCTAGGGTTTTCATGTTGACCAGCTATAAATTATAGAAAATTCTTTGGGTTTCTATAAAGTAATTTATTATGTTATTATTTTTGAGAAAAGGAAAGGAGTTTCAGATTATATTCTCAATGGCTAATAGGACCACTGTGGATGATTCATGTGGCTGTTGTACTGATGTGGAATGTGATAATAATGTCCCCTAGCCTTGCAGAGCCATCTGAATGAGACATCTTTTCTACTTCTGGCAGAGGTGGAGAAGGATTGGTTGTCAGGTAGGGAGAACAGGTATATGAGTGACTGACCCTAGTCTTCCGACTCTTGTTAACAGAGGGTTGAACTGAAATCTGGAAGTGCTGGAAAGATTTATGAATGAATCCTCCTCCCTCCCCCATGAGCTTCTGCTTTTCCCCAATAAGATGGAATTCTGGATTTTTATCTGAGTTTTCCATTTAAAAAAAAAATTCCAATCTCCTCATCACCCTCCCCTTTGGCAATCATCAACTTGATCTATCTGTGGGTATAAGTGCATTTTTAATTAAGCTTCAAGGTAGACTGACTATAGTTGAAGATAAGTGAAACAATGCTTTAAGTAAAGTCTTCTGGTTGCAGGTTAAGAATGGTTATTAGAGGCCTTTGGAGGGTGGGATGAGGTGTAAGTTTTAGGAAAAGCGGGCTTGTAGGGAACTGTAAGGGCATCTTTATGAGATGTCTTGTATACTCTTGCTTTTTAAATGGCAGATTCCTTTTCATATTTAGTAATCAGAAACCTGTAAGAGTTCTGCTTTGTAAAGTTTATGGTTTCGTTTTAATATAAATACAAAAATTAGGCTAAATCCTCTTTGAATTTTAGATTATCTTAGGTACTTTCATGTTTGAGATGGCAGCCACCCAGCAGTAGCAGCACACCTGGTCCATAAGGCCCTTAGCAAATGCTCATGATTGAAGGAGGGAGTACTTGAGTGGAACTGAGACCCACTCATGTGTGGCCCCACACACCAACGTAGGAAGCGAACCCTCCCACCCACACAGTGACCTAGTCTTCATGATTACTTTTTAGATTTTTATTTTTATTGGATTTGTTATTAGGCCAAAGCAAAAGTTGTTTTCTCTTGTCAGTCATTGAACCAAAGAACAAAAGCTGGTGGAAGTGATTGCTTGATGTAATTGGAATTGATGTTTTATCAAGCAATATTTGGTTATATTCCATTTAAGATGAAGAAGATGACTTTACGTGTAAGAAAGCAGCCTCTAAATCAAAAGAGAATGGACGATCTACAAATAGTTATCTTGGAGCATCCACCATGAAAAAGAATGAAGAAAACACTAAGACCAAGAATAAGCCTTTATCACCAATAAAACTTAGCCCCACATCAGTGCTTGATTATTTTGGAACTGGAAGTGTCCGAAGATCAGATAAGAAGATGGTGGCAAGCAAAAGAAAAGAGGTGAGTGTTCTACATGTAAGCAAGAACATTCAGGAATCTTGGAGAGTGTTGATTTACTGTTAATTAATAAGATGGGAAATTTGGATATTGTAGTAGGTCACCATATTTTATTGATGAAAATAAATTTATGATTATGGACAAAATGTATGGCCATCATTTTACAGGATGAGGAAGTTAGACTAATTTATATTTGAAAGTAGAAAAGAACATTTAAATTGTAAGATAAAATTAAAATTCTTAGAATTTAAATACTCAGAATGCAAACTCATTTGACTATTGATCTCAGCCAGACAAAATTGGACAATAAATTTGTTCCCAAATGAGATTATAAGTACATGACTTATAAACAGAGCCTACCTATGCTGTACTTTCGACTTTTTCTACCTTGGCTGATGTTGGATTCACCTTTTTCTGGAAATTTAGGAAACAAATACTGATAAATTATAGTGAAAGTAGTCCCCTGGATTAAAGCCTGCTAAATAGTGTTTGTTGATTTCATTAGTGTCTCCACAGGACAGTGTGATCATTCTCGCATGCTGGTTTGCAAGTGTTGTAGACTACTTTGCAAACCAAGACATTAGTCTACAAGTGATTTTCTTGTGTGTGTGTTAGGGGGTACTTTTCTTGCACATTTCAGTAGAATTAAGCGAGAACCATGACTTTCTGACTGGTGTGCATTGAGACTGGCTGTTTCATTACTGATAGACTTAATTCTCATCGGTGTATTTAATCAGCTACAGTCAAGAAAAAGCACCTTCTCTTTAACTTAACGTTTATGTTGATTTTCTTTGAAATACAGCCTTCACAAAATACAAATGATTCCAGATTAAATGATGAAGCCATTGCCAAGCAATTGCAACTTGATGAAGATGCAGAGGTATTGCCATTTTGCTTAGATATCATTAACAATTTGATGTTCAGACTTGTTATTTAGTCCACCCAGGTAAATCAAGATTGTTCTAGGTCCCCTGGCCAGTGGCTCAGTTGGTTGGAGCATTGTCCCATACACCAAAAGTTTGCAGGTTTGATTCCTGGTCAGGGCACGTATCTGGGTTTCAGGTTCGATCTCCAGTTGGAGCTTAATACGGCAGGCAACTGATCGCTGTTTTTCTCTTACATCTCTGTTTCTCTCTCTCACATTAATAAACATATCCTTGGGTGAGGATTAAAAAAAAATAAAAAAAGATTGTTCTAGGCTAATTTTGGATTGAACCACATTGTAAGAATTATGTATAAAATAAGTAAAAATCTAACATTAAAAAATCTACATTTTATCAAAATAAATGATAAGAGCAGGGGATAATTATTTATTTAGAGATTTATTACTACGTTTTTTTGAGTGGAAGCCTCCTTTAGTATAGTTAAAATAATTTAATTTGGTCATAACTCTTTCCACTCTGGGTGATCTCATTCACTTCTGTGGCTTTAATTAGTATGAATATGCTGATGATCCCCAAATTGGTTTCCAATTCAGAGTGCTTTCTTGAGTGATAAACCTATATATTCATTCAGTAAGTACTTATTGAGCACTTACTGAGTGCATGGCACAATTCTAGGTGTTACAGATACTGCAGTTAAAAAAAAATTGTGTCAGGACATTGTAAGTGCTGTGAAGAAAACTAAAGGAATAATTTTGGGGTGATCAGTAGGGTTATGAGTACTTTTTTTTTTTTTTAGAATAACCTTTATTACATGAGCCAAGATAGGAGGGAAGAGGATTTATTTGCCTTCCGGGCCTTGACTTTCCTCAGAACCCAGCGCCGTGCCCTGTGGCACCTGGCCATCTGCTCGGCCACATGGGCCTGGTCTTGGAGGGTGCACGCCAAAAGCTTGCCCTGCCGGAACTTCTCCCCTAGAACACTGCTGATTTTGGCATTCTTTTTGTTTCATTATGCTTCTGAATTTTCTTTGATCATTTTTTGTTTAAGTTTTCTTCCTCCTCAGAAGGCAGCTTGGCCTCCTTTCTGCGGCCCAGGGGCAGTGCCTAGTGGGATGCATTTCACTGTCAGTACGGTGTGCCGGCAACGAGCACCACGCGGTTCCTTATCCAGGGCTTGGTGTCGACCAGTTTGTCGTTGGATGCATTGTAGACCACATCAGTGATGCTTGTTTGCAAGTACAACACTTGGTGCTCCAGGAGAAGTTGCCTGCGTCCAGCCTCAGGGCAGGGCACTTCCTGTTTCCTCTGGCACAGGGACTGTGTGTGTGGGGCAAGGGCCCATCATAGCGCTGGCAGCTGGTGCCCCAGTTCATATTTCTGATTCTTGTGGTAGGGCTTCCTCTCACCCCTGGTCTTGTGGTGCTTCTGCCCGTTGTCCTGAGAGATGCCCATGGCTTGGCACCAGCTGGAAAGAGCATGAGTATTCTATTTTCAGTAGAGGGGTCAGGAAGGCCTCTCTGAGGAAGTGATATTGAGGCACAGAATGAAGTGATAATGGCGAGCCCCGAGGCTGGCTACCTGGAGGACTCAAAACAGAGAGAACAGCAGGTGCAAGCATCCTGAGGTAGAAAAGATTGAGTTTGATGAATTTGAGAAATGACCAGCAGCAACTAATGTAAGTCCAAACAGGACTTTAGTACCTACCAAAAGGACTTGGGATGGTACAGACTTGGATTTTAATCTCTGTGAGATGAGAAGCCATTGGAGTGTTGAATAGATGTAACATGGATTGATGAATCTTAAAAGAAAGATATTCTGGCTGCTGTGAGACTAATAAGCCACGGTGGGGCAAGAGCAAAAGCAGAGCAGTTTGGACACTGTTATGGGAGGGTCGGCAGGCGGGAGATGATGACGGCTTGCACCGGGATGATATGGATGAGGCAGTGAGAAGTGGTTATAACCTGTGCTTTGAACATGCAGCCTTCAAGTTGTTGCTGGTAGATTGGATGTAAGGTAGGAGGGAAAAAGAAGATTCAGAGATAGATTCCATGTAGTTTGGCTTGAGCGACTGAATATCCATTGATTAAGACAGAACACTGGTACAGAGGAATCAAGAATTCTGTTTTGGATGTGTTAAGTTTGAGATACTTAATAGGCTTCCAAATGGAGATGCATAGTGGGTGGTTGGAGAGTGGCCTCTGGAGCTCAGGGGCAAGATCTGAGCTGAAGATGTATATTGGGGAATCACTAGCACTTGATTCCCCAAATCAGTGAGATCATGGGGAGAGAAAGTTAATAGAGGAGTCTCAGGATTGAGCTCTGTTAACATTTAGAGGTCAGGGAAAAGAAGGTGAGGGTGCCCACAAGAAGCAACTAGATTTCCTCTCTCACATTGATGTTTTTCTCCCACTCTCTTCTTCCCTGCCTCCCTCCCCCTCTCGCTAGAATCAGTAAAGGGCGGGGGGGGGGGGGAGAAAAGAAAAAGGAAAAAAAGAATGGCTAATGAAGTAGGGAAGTGAGGGAAGCTTGCTATTTCATGGGAGCGAAATAAAGAAAGTGTCCATCTCTGACAGAGGTGCCAGTCCTTAGTGCCTACTGTTTGAACCCCCTTTGTGGTTATTAGTTCAGGTATCACTTTCTCACATTCCCTAAACTGTTTAGAAACTCCTCCTGTAAACTCTGTTGTACCTCGTCGTAGCTGCTATTAGTATTTGTTAGAATTGCTATTTAGGAACCTAATGAACAAAACAATCAAATGAGCAATGTAGAACCAGAGTCATGGAAACAAGGAACAGACTGACAGTGACTGGGGGGAGGGGGGAGGGGGAAAGAGAAGAGTCTAGTCAAGGAGCAGGTATGACCCGTGGACATGGACAGCAGGGTGGGGATTGCCTGGGAGTGGGGGAGGGGTGGGCAGGGAGGGGAGAACAACGGGGGAAAAATTGGGACAACTGTAATAGAACAACAATAAAAAAAAAAAAGAGTTGCTATGTAAATGTCTTCCGATATATAGGCTGTAAACCCCACCCACGAGGGCTGTTCATGTCTTCAGCTATTGTGCCATCCCTGGTCACTTCAGTGCTTGGCATATTTTTGTGAGAGAATAGTATTTTGGTCTACTGGAACATACCAGATTTGTTCACATTTTATTAATGTGACAATTTATAGCTGGTGTTTTCAAAGTCTTTTTTCCATGTTATTTGATTACACTGAATTACATAAACTATAAACTCGGTATCCACATGACTCAATATAGCACAAATGGCCTAGGTAAAATTTTGAAATAATTTTTAAGGACCTGACTTCTTACCTCTCCCAAATACTGGAGGCTTACCCCAACCTTTCCAAGCCAGACATGGTACTCTGTGTCACAGTTCCCTATTTTCTCATTCCTATTATATTCTTTCAGAATCTTATTTGAGTAATTTATTAGCCTGATGAAGAATTTTTAGGGTGTTAGTGACTGATGATATCTTTCTGATGATCCCTATTAAGATAAGTTCTTTTTTCTCCTCCTTTCCTCCTTCACTTTCACCTGTTTGTTTACTCCTTTAGTTGAGTATGTGTCCAGTATCTAAGTCAGTCAGTCCATAGACAGTATGTTAAACACCATCTGCTGTACTCAACGTTGTATTCAAACATAGGACTTCTGATCACGAGGGCATAATCACCAATAATGAATTTTTGATGGAAGTACTTAAATTTCTCCTGTCATCTAAATCATCTAGAATCCTCAGTGTTAGAAGTGTACTACATAGAGTGAAATTTTGGAAAAGCAGTATAGGTTTCAACCAGAAATTCTTCCAGGGCCACTGGAAGTTTAGAGTTTGAAGGACCTTTTTATGGTGAAGATTTTCATGTTTTTTTTATCAATTAGATGTGTAGTTCAGGTTATGGTAAGAAAATATTAAACAGCAGAATATATAGAAGTGCATCTCTGGCTTATAGTTCTGCATAGCTTAATTCATTTATTAATAAGAAAAGGCTTGGTTACTGTCTTCGCATCAGACTTAATGCCAGTTTCCAAGCCTTCTTAGGATTGGGAGGATTTTGAGGTCCTTTCATTTGTTCGAATAATACAGGGATGCCTTTGTTTGATATGACATTAAGCCATTTTATCAGGGGGCATAAAAACATTTCATTTCTAATGAGAAATGTATTCCACTGCTACACATTCTTTTCTGGAAGATTTCCATTTTTCTGAAAGTGAGAACATTTGAAAAGAAGAGCAAGGTTAACTGGAATGTCTGTGTGCTAACATTTAGCAGAGCTTCTGACTGACATGATGACTTACATTTCCAAAAGTCAGAACAGATGCATTTGAATTAGTTATTGAAAATAGGAGTTTGATGATATAAGGGATATTTGTGTATAGCTTACTTTTTTGTGAAAGAAAAAATATAATTTTCTTTTTTTTTAAAATTTTTAATTTTTTTGTTCAAATATATTTGTCTCCACTTTTCCGCTGCCACTTTCCCCTGCCCCCTCCCTCACCTCCCTCCCTCAGTCCTTCCCCACTTTGGCTTTGTCCATGGGTCCTTTATACATGTTCCTTGACTTGACCCTTCCCTTCCTTTTTCCCGCACCCCTTCCCTCTTGACTCTGTTGGTTTCTTTTTTCTTTCAGTGTTGCTGGTTATATTTTCCTTTCTTGTTTGTTTTGTTGGTCTGCAAGTGTTACATTAGGACTATTAAGAAAAAAGTATAGATTTTAAACTATATAAGTGAGAAATGTGGCTTTAAAAATATGCTCAGTTTGTCTATCATACCTGCAAAAGTAGGTATATTTGTTCTGAAATCTAATGTGGCTTAGTGAAACACACTTGTGATACTTAACTGTTAATATTAAATGGAAAATGTCATAGTTACTTTCTGGAAAATGTTTTCTAATTTTTTCTATGTATTATGAATCAAACATTTAAAAACTTTAATTTACAAAAGAAAAAAAGCACCTCACTCTGTTGACACTTTTTACAGCTGGAGAGACAACTGCATGAAGATGAGGAGTTTGCCAGAACATTAGCCATGTTGGATGAAGAACCTAAGAAGAAAAAGGTGGCGTTTTTCCTGGGCTCTGAATACACAGTACAGATCAGTGTTCCCTTTCATACCTGTGTATGCTAAGCTCTGGAGATAGAACCATGAGTTACTTTTCTAGAAAGAAGCTAAGTTGTTTTAATTTATAGACATGTTTTTGGGGAAGCTCATTGAAGAACTTACTCTTTCCAAAGGAAGGTTGATAGAGCCAAAGGTGACCAGAACCCTGCTTCCCAAAACAATGAATTGCAACCTCTGCTTACTGTCTCTCACAAAGGGGTTCTTACGTACTTTTTCAGAGAATAATGCTTATAAAGATTCCTATAAAACCTAAAGTTTAATTACGGTAATATTTACTGTCTTTTTGGGAAGCCCAGTTTTGCCATTTTTAATTAGGTAACTTTAAGGTCTGTTTTAAGACAGCCTCAGATGGTAAGTTTATGTTTGGAAATCTTCAAAAGCAGAAAGATCTTTTTAAGTGCTTATTTATTTTGAACTTATTTTAGACTTTATTTTGAATACCATTCTGTTAATATTATCAGTATCAATATTTGACTATTTAAAAATATTTTACAGTCGTTAGCTGTAAGACACTAGTGGGTGTTGGGGACATCATCATTTGAAAAGCCTTACTCCAGCTAAAGACATTCGAATTAAAATTATTAAAAAAAAATACTGTGTTATATATCCCAATTTGTAACCTCTTTTTAAAAGGGAGTTCTGAGGGAGCAGTGGAGAGAGAATGGATATTTTTCTTCTCTTTTGAGAAAATGTTCTCTTATTTTTCTTTGAGCCTTAGATTGTTTTTAATGTAGCCTTTTGGTTTATATTTTAGTTTTGTCTTTTTTTTTTTTGCATGAGTGTTTTTAAAAAAATATTTTTTGTTCTATTACAGTTGCCCCCATTTTCCCCCCTTTGCCCTCCTCTGCCCGGCCCACCCCCAATTCACACAGTCGGTTCCCACTCTGTTGTTGGTGCCCATGTCGTTCATACATGTTACTTGACTAGTCACTTTCCCTTGTTTCCACCCTGTATTTTAGTTTTTAACCTTAATGTTAACAGTTTGAGAATTGAGATGAAAGACTCACAACTTGGGAAGAACTGGGATAATTTTTTATACAAAGTATTTTTTATACCCTTTTCATCTGTTTTCTCATCTGTAAAATTAAAAGTAATTACACATGTTTCATTTGCCCCAGAAATTTTGTGGATGAAGAAATGAATATGTATTGTATTGTCCTGCTATTTTGGGAGATAGCTCTTAATCTTAAAATTCATAAATTAAAAACTTTGGTCAGTGTTAACATATTTTGTGGTAATAATTATCCTATTATTTGTCACATGTGACACTTTTAAAATTTTCTTAGGCTCCAAAGGATCCAGAAGAGGGAGAAACATTTTCATCTGTCCAGGCCAATTTAAGTAAAGCAGAAAAACATAAATATCCTTATAAAGGTAATACTAGCAGAGAAAAAAGTACGGTGGAACACTTATCTTTGTAGAAGAAAATTTATGGTAACCTTGTTTAAATGTTCTATTTAATAATTGCCTTGTATTGTTAAGTAGACATTATTCCATAGGAGTATTGGAGCATGTTCTGCTTAGAAACTTTGAAATATTAGCTCTTTAAGATATTTGCTGGTGCAGGATGCCTAGCTGCTGTATGATCATTGTATTGTGAGAAATGCTTTACAGCTCTTGGCTGCATGTTAATTTCCAAGTATTGTAGTGCAGCATGTGAATATCAATATATTAAAACAAAGAACTAGATGTTTCAAGCTCATAGAGTAGACCGATAGTTGTTCAGGTCATGTGAAGCTCTTTTGCTGATTGTCTATAGGTTTTATTTTTTAGTGGTTCTGATATTTAACCATCTGCTAGTATAGATGGTCTCAATCTTGTAAGTAAAACTGTTCACATAGTAACTTTTAGTCTTGAAATTTCAGGATTTGCAGCTTTCAGGCTATGTTACAGAATTTTTATGTGACGTACTGTAGTCAGTAAGTTATCTCTGTAAATATCAGATCATTGAAGATTATCTGGGGAATAAAGTCCATGTTCTTAGATGTAGTTTACCATAGTATTTCAATTAATGAGTAATTTGTGTTTAAAAACAGTTACCTTACTTTGAATTGGTTATACAGAGAAGTAATATATAAATATTTAATTGTAAAAAATAAATGCGCTGTATCAAGAACTAAAATCTTAATGTAAACATTATGAAATCACCTATGATATTGTGTGCTACTAAGATTATTCAGTTGAAAAATGAAAAAATAATCTCGTTATTGGTATCATTTTCCAAAAAGAACAGTCATAATCTTTTCTGTTTTTCTAGTAAAAACAGAGCAATTTCTGAATGAAAAAAAGAACTACAGTCCTAAGAAGCAAACTAAATGTGAAAGTTCAAAAGAATCTCAGCAGCATTCCAAGTTATCAGCTCACAAAATAGGAGAAACTTCTCCTAAAGCTAGTTCCAAGCTGGCACTTCTGAAAATAAAAGAAGAGAGTTCTTCTAAAGAAACAGAGCCTATGGCCACAAAAAGAAAAGAAAGTGCCATTGAATTGAAAGAGACAAAAAGTCCTAAGAAAACGAAAAGTTCTCCTGCCAAAAAAGAGGTAGAAATTTTCTAAAAGTGGATCATGTTGGGGCTATGCGTTGATCTGGGTTTGATTATTTTCATGTTTTACTTCTAACTTTATAAGCTATTATAGTACTTTTTAGATGCCATCTTATTTAGATGTTGCTGCAGAATGTAGACGATTAATACAGTTAAATTAGCCAGTACATATTGAGTGTTAACATTGTGTGTCAGACATTGTGCTAAAACGTGGTGTCTCATGTAATCTTCACAACAACCCTGTGAGATACTTATTTTTATTATTCAACTTTTAAAGACAAGTAAACAGGCTGAAAGTGTCTTAAGTAATTTTTATAAGATTATCCAGCTGGTAGGTGACAGAATCCAAAAAAAGCAGTATAACACGGCGGCCCCCGATGGAGTCTGGAGGGGGTTTCAGATCGTAGCGCTGCCGCTGAGCAGATGTGTGACCTTGGCCTTGCGCCTCCCCCTCTCTCTGCTTTGGTTTCCTCATTTGTAAAATAGGGACAGTAATGAGATAAACCACTTAGAACAGTACCTGGCACATAATAAGTTCTATATAAGTTTTTGCTATTAATAAAATAATCATTATTTGTATTTTTCTTGAGTATAACTCCTTTTTGCTCGTGTATAACAATGTTGAGATACTGGAATCATTTCCAAAGGAAAAAACAGTGAAATAAACAAAATGGTTTTCAAAGGTTTTCTGTGTTTTCATGTATTTTGAGAAGTGAGTAGTTTCTTAGAATCTCAATTTGGACTTCAGATTCATAACGAGAAACCACAATTCCTTCAAGCCTTCTAGGACTTAGAATTAAAAGCAGAATATTGTCTGTTTTAACTGCTCATCACCATTATTTTTAGTGCAGAACACTGAAATGGTGATGATTTCAAGGTCTTTATTTTTGTTACTGTTTCTGGTCAGTGCTCATAAACACGCTTGAGGGAAGAGTCAGCTTTTTGTTTGAAATTATTCTTCAATAAATACTTAACTGGTGGATGAATGTTTTTCTTCAGGCACTCTAAACATGTTCAGTTTACAAAGGCTTGTCTATTTTTATTAAAGCAGAAGAATTCTCCAAGTGATTCTGTTACTCTTCACTGTATTTTTCAAAGTTAGAGTAGAAGTGACTCAGAAATTTTACTTAAGCAGTTTTGAGAACTTCTGTTTAATAAATTTACCCTATCTTGGTCAAATAATTTTGACTTTATAAATGGATACAGTTCAAAGTTATTTTATAAGTTGTTTTAATTCAGCATTATCTTTTCCATAGAATTAATATTATAAATGAATAATTTTTCCATTTTGGTAGGTATTGGGTACTTTTGTGAAGCTTGTTAAAAATACGGCTTCCCTGGGCGTGAGGTCTGGGCAGGTGTATTTTAATAAGCTGCTCAGAGGACATGCATGCGCACCAGCATTTGCGAACCACGGTGGAAGTGCAGAGTTTGGGTCTAGGACCAACTTATATGGCTTATTTAACGTATGACCAAAGCAGCTTGTTTTCTTGATGAAATCATTTATTTACATTGAAGTAATATTTTGTCTACTCTCAAAGGTATTTGAGGTGGCTTACAAGTTAAAAATAATGTAAAACAGGAAGTAGGAAAAAAACAGCAGAGATAAATTTTGTATTAGTTTTTGAGTCAGAATTATCTAGGATGTTTTTCCCACAAATACACAGGCCCTAGCCATAACCCCATATCTCCGAACCAGAAACTTGGACTGAGTCTAGGGATCTAGAGCTGGAAAAGTCTCCCCAGGGTTTTCTTAGAGATATGCAACCTACGACTTCCTGAAGTAGAATGGGAGAGATTGAACCTAGAAGGGAGAGTGACGGCATAGAGAGTGTGTCTGCTTTTCAGAGTAGAGCTTGCCCCTTGTTTGAGCCCGCTGTTCATGTGAAGCCATTAACTCTCAGACTGTATTGTTTATATCCCAGGGGTATAGAGCCACTTAGGTTGTTTTAGGGGAGTGCAAAACTCTAGGATAAACATAAGATAACTTCTTGTGCAATCGAATTTACATAGATATAATGCGAAATAGAATTCAAAATTCACATGCATCTTTGAAGTAGTACACTGGTTTTTTTTTTTTGCTTGAGGCTGGCAACTTGGCATATGCACCTTACCTGCCCTGAGGTGTGTGCCTTTAAAGAGAGTAGAAAGGCTTGACAAGGGCAGATACAGGGATGCTTATAAGCCAGACATGTGTAAGTTGGGGGGAGTACTTTTGTAGCTAAAAATGTTAATTTCAGGACCAAATACAGAACAACTTAATGTGTACTTATATATGTTTTTAATTTTACATGAATTTTGCATGACTTTGTTCCATTTCCTTTCCTCATCCTTAAAGTCTGTAAGTCCTGAAGATTCTGAAAAGAGACGCACTAATTATCAAGCTTATCGGAGTTACTTAAATCGAGAAGGTCCCAAAGCTCTAGGCTCCAAGGAAATACCAAAGGTAAGAGTGCTGAGAAGGCATGGTGTCCGGCCAGGGCCTCTCGCCCATGGGTCCATGTACGTGTTCACTGTGTTTACAGCAGCGGAGAATAATTGAAGATAACAGAAAAGCTGCAGTTTCACCATATTTACTAATTAGAGATGTTTATTCCCATTATGAGTCACTACTTGGTACTTAGAAAAATTTTCTTTTTACTTCAAGTAGCCCTAGTAGGGCTGGGCTTCGAGGCATACAGCAGTTACAAGACTCTTTGCCTTTATGGTACTTATGGTCTAATTGAGGAAAGAGGCCTTAAATCAATTATTTACTTAAAACTGTGATGTATTTGCCAGCCTCGCCTCTTGTACAGAGTGTACGAAGGCTTCTGCCCAGGAGCACTTGAGGCAAAGTGGTGTCCTTACAGGATGGTCAGTTTCGGTGACGGCAAGGCCATGGGGGCAGAGCTGGAGAAAGGGCTGAGGATATCGGGTGGTTTGCTGGTCCCGCAGGGGAAGTTCTGGAGTGGAAGGGTTTAGTAGGGGATCTGGAAGTGCTGAGATTGTGAAGGTAAAATGTTCCTCAGAGCCAGAATGGCTGATAATTTGGGGGATGGTTGATGATTGGGGAGTGGAATAGAGGCTTGCATGTTTGAGTTTTATAAAGTTATTTTGAATTTGTTGAGAATTGTTCCAAGGTCATCTTAATTGTAGAATCTTTCCAACCAGGAGATAACATGATTGTGCCTTTAAGTTATGTACAGGTTGTTAGATTTACCATCAGAGGGTAAGGCTTGAAGGGACCTTGAGAAGTTGTTAGTCAAACCTTTTCTCTCCTAGCTAATTCAGTGCTATTCTCCCCCCTCCCCTCAAAAGATTCTTCACCTGGATGGTGAAGGGTTGGATTTGTGCTGGTCTTTGGATTTTGTTTAGCTTCTTTTCAAGCCTGTTTTAAGTCTGTGTTCAAATTCTCTGCTCAAAGAGTAATAAGTAACTTTGGATTGTTTACCTAATTCTCATTTTGCTTGGTTATATCTTTTTACTGAACCATTGCAGAAATAAAAAAAGTCTAACTATACACATTTCCAATTAAGATTGTCTCCATCCAGCTCGCTTTGGCCAGTGTCTTTTATATTACCAAGTTATCTTTCCAACCAAGAGACAATATGGTCTCGCTTTTCAGTTATGTACCGGTTGTTAGATTGACTGCTGTAGGTTAAACGGCCACAGAGAAGTGCAGGAGCTCAAACTTGTTTAGCTTTTCAGAATTGAAGCTTTTCTTTCTTAATAATAGCAAGAGTTTCTGTAGGTGGATTGCATCTAGTTGTTTACTTAAAGTTACATGAGCTCACTAGTAGTTTAAATATTAAAAATAATAATGAAAATTGAATGGATAATTTTAATAAGCTTTTCTAACCATTGAACATATATTTTCTATTGCTAGTTTTGTAAGTTTATTAAATGTTAGTCTACGTAAGAATTTCTCAGGATTTTATTTCAGGTTCTGCTTATTTGCTGTAAATTTCCAGCAGATTTTTCCATGCTGAGATTATTTATGATGTCAAATGAGAAAAATCAACTTCCTGCAGTTTTGATGCCAAAAATGTCTTTGGAAAGCTACCATGTAATTTCCTCTCTGCTTGAACATTTTGGTTTGTAGGGAGCTGAAAATTGCTTGGAAGGCCTTACATTTGTAATCACAGGAGTGCTGGAGTCCATTGAAAGAGATGAAGCCAAGTCTCTAATTGAACGTTATGGAGGAAAAGTAACCGGAAATGTCAGCAAGAAAACAAACTACCTTGTCATGGGTCGTGATAGTGGACAGTCCAAGAGAGATAAGGTGGGTGCTGCTGTGTTCTCAGCACACTGAATGAACCAGCCTGCTTGATTTGGCAGGCTCTCGATGTGACCATTTGTAATAATGCCCTTTACACAGAGTTAAGAGAAGAAAGAAATGGAAAAGTAATTCCTTTCCTATGTTATTTCTTCTCCGTGGAGGTTGGCTTTGATCCCAGCAGTTTGGTTTTCCAACTGAAGATACAGCTTCTGTTTACTTGACTTTTTTAGTGTAGTATTCTAACTTAAATATTTTTTTGAAGACAGAAGCAAATAGTTTTCTTGTTTTTTACGTCCTAAGTACTCATATATATGCCACTTAAGTTTTTTATTGGAACTTTGTAAGTAAGATTGTGTTTAGCTCCACGTAACAGAATACTCACCTTGATTCAAACAAATAGCTGCTTGTTTCCTTATGCAACTAGAGCTCCAGAGGCAGGCAGTTGCTGGGATGGTTCAGCAGCTCAGTAATGCAACGAGGCCAGTTCTGTTTTCTACCTCTTTCATTCTTATTTTGTTAACTTCAGACTGTGTGTGTGTTGCCTTGTGTTGCAAGATGGCTACAGCTCTAGGCATTCAAGGCAGGAGAAAGGGAGCAGTGGCAGGATGTCACACTAGCTGTGACTGGCCTTACAGGAGTTTTCCCAGAGACTCTTGTCAAATTTCACTTAAGTCTCATTGGCCAGAGGGGTCACATGGCCATTCAGTGCTATACATGAAGTTGGCAGGATGAGGACTTTCGGATTGCCCTAGGCTGATCATAGTTTATCACTGGGAGAGGACACACTGGAGTTCGGTTGGCAGGGACGGAGGTGGGAGCATGCTGCCAGACAGGCGGCCCACGGGGGCGGGATGAAGAGCGGGCTTAGGCCCTGGTGACTTTGCCCTTTCTAGGGTCGAGGAAAACATAAAAGCACTCCAGAAAAGAGGTGATGTGACCCCTCAGGTACCAACTTATTCTAGGGATGTACCTGTCATTTTCTTTCTTTTTAATGGCACTTTTTCATGAATTTGGTTTAAAAAAAAAGTTTCAGCTTAATTTACAAATGTGGTTTTTCACCTATTAAGAGGCTCTAGAATCTTTTTTTTTTTTTTTTTTTTAAACAAAGTAATGGCTAGAATACAGGTTTGTAATGGTTTGCATTTTTAATCACTAGGCAGCAGCCTTGGGGACAAAAATTATTGATGAGGATGGCCTATTGGATCTGATTCGAACTATGCCAGGCAAGAAGTCCAAATATGAAATAGCTGTTGAAGCTGAGGTTTGTATAAAATGAACTTGATTTAAGTTGGTTCATAGCAACTTTCCTATTTCATAGACATTTCTTGGGTGGGTACCAGGGGCCTGTTGGCTAAAAGATTAATTTCCCCTTCTACTGCAAATGAGCCTACCTTATTCCCTTTTGAGCAGGTGGACTCTGCTTCAGGATATCTTCTGTGGTGTGTTTCCTTACCTTTTTAAAAGCAATATGCGAGAGAGAGGACAGTGTATTGCGCTTACCATATCTACTTATTAAACTTCCCATATTTTCCATATTGCGGTGACTTTGTGCAAAGGTTATTGCTTAAGAGTTCTTTTAAAGGATATGTTAAGGACCAGCATGATAAATTCATTTTCAGTTAAAACTACAGTAGAACTTTTTCAGTTGTACTAGAAATCCAGCCCGAATTAGCTTTAGCAAAAAGGGAAAAATGTTGGCTCACATAACAAGGACAGGGTGGGTGGGTCTGGTGTAGGAATTACTAGATCTGGAGACTATATAGTGCATTCAGGACCCTTTCAGTTTCTGTGTCTCTGCTTCTCCTGTTAGCCTCGTTCATTCCCGTATATTTAGGTCTTTTCCAAGTGTGGGACACAGGTGGACCAGTAGCACAAGTTTCATGTCCTCAGCTCTGTTCTCCAGGTGGCCAAGGTGGTCTAACATTTATTCTGGTTATAAAAATCTTGGGGAATGGTTTGTGTTGGCCCTTCACCCAGTGCTTCCTAGAATTAACAACTTAATGTAACCATCGTATAGTTACCCAAACCAGGAAATGAATGTGGATACTACACTGCTAAATAAACCACAGCTGTTGCACGGATGTCACATTTTCCCCTATTGTCTTTTTTCTCTTCCAGGATTCCACACTGCATTTAGTTGTTCTATCTTACTCTCCAATCTATGACAGTTCTTTTGTCATTTTTGGGGAGCCATTCTTATAAAACAATTATATTTCTTTGATGCTTTCTTATGATTAGCTTGTAGTTTGGCATTTTTGGCAAGAATGTCACAGAAGCGATATTGTGTCCTTGACAGTGTATCACATCAGACATCTCATTATTGGTGGTAATAATCTTGTTTACTTGCTTCAGTTATTGTCTGCCAGGTTTCTCCACTCGTGAAGTGACTACTTCCCCTTTGTAATTGATAAATATATTGTGGAGATACTTTAAGACTATGCTAATATCTTGTTTCTCCTCAAACATTCATTCACTAATTTTATCATCCACTCTGGTAAAGAGGCACTAATTTATTTATTTTACTTTTTAATGATTTCATTTATCTTTAGGGAGGGGAAGGGTGGGAGAAAGAGAGGGAGAGAAACATTGATGTGCAAGAGAAGCATCAATTGTTTGCCTCTTGTATGCGCCCCAGCTGGGGACTGAACCCGCAACTCAAGCCTGTGCCCTGACAGGGAATCGAACCAGCGGTGTTTCGCTTTGCAGGATGATGCCCAGCCAACTGAGCCACTCTGGTCAGGGCCTCTTTTAAAGTCATACCACAAAATGTATTATTCGGTTATTATTCACACACCACAGAATTCACTCTTTGAAGTCTATAAATCATAAATCAGTAGTTCTTAGTGTAGTCACGAGATTGTGCAACCATCACCGCAGTCTAATTCCAGAACATTTTTGTTGCTACCTGAAGAAACGCTGTACCTACCCGTCAGCAGCCACTCATATCTGTCCCCAGCAACCACCACTCTCCTTTGTGTCTATGGATTTGCCTCTTCTAGACCTTTCATTTAAAGGGATCATGCAATATTTGGCCCTTCTTTCACTTAGCAAAAAGTACTCCTTTTTATCGGTAATTCATATGCCATTGGGTGGATATACCACATTTTGTTTATCTTTTCGTCAGTTTGTAGACATTGGGGTTATTTCCATTTTGGGGGGTAAAATATAAAATAATGTATATGTATATATAATATAGTAATGCTGCTATGCACATTTTTGTACAGGTTTTTGTGGAGGCATTTACTCTTTAAAAAAGTTTTATTTTTCATTTATAGTTGACATTCAGTATTAGTTTCAGGTATATGGCATAGTGGTTAGACATTATTTAATTTACAAAGTGATCTTCCAATCTTGCACTCACCTGACACCATATATGTGTTATTAGAGGCATTAATTTTTAACTCCTTAGAAAACTGAAAAATCTCTTAATCCTTTACCCCATTTTTTTCAAACTAATATTGGATTACTTATTTTAAAAAATTGCATTTGGGTGCTTTTCATTGTGTTTGCTGTAAATTTCTATAAAGTTTGAACGGTGCTGATATCCACAAATAGCAGGATCCCTTGTGAAAAGGCAAAACCAGCTTGGGTAGCTTATTTGGGTATCGCAGATTAACCTTTAGAATACATTTAGCAGGATAGAAATTATTTATCTCACCAGGTTTCTTTTTCTCTCACTCTTCCAATTTTTAAGATGAATAAAGAGAAGTCCAAATTGCAGAGAACACCCTCAAAAAATGACCAAGGAAAAAGAAAAATTAGTCCAACTAAGAACGAGTCAGAATCCAAAAAGTGCAGACTGACTCCCAAAAAGGATAGCTCCATGAAGTCAATAAAAAAAGAAACAAGTGTGTTTCAGAGAGGCCTGGACTCCAAGGAGCAGGTGGCTGAGGAGGCAAATGGTGACAGCCAGGCTAGGAGATCGGCTGATGACAGCAGTGAAAACAGAGTGGCAAATTTGCTCTGGGTGGATAAATACAAGCCAGCCTCACTCAAGACCATCATTGGACAGCAAGGTGACCAGAGCTGTGCCAACAAACTCCTACGCTGGCTCCAAAACTGGCACAAGAGTCCATCTGAAGACAAGAAACACGGTGATTTTACAGCTTCATTCATTTTTGTGTGTGTCTCTCACCATGCCATTGCTCAGTGGCACATATGTGAGGAAGTCTAATAGTTGGTTCTTTCCTCTCTTGGCAAACGTTCATTGAGAGCCAGCTCTGAGCCCAGGTGCTGTTGTGAACAAAACACAGTCCCCCCCAAGTTGCTCACAGGCAGTGGGGGAGACATAGGAACTGGCCATTAAATTGTAATATGCTAAGTCCTGTTAAGTCCTGTTAGAGGGGTAAGTATAGGGTGTTAGGGGACGGAGGTGTGTGGTCAGAGATGGGGCTGTGTGCTTTCATCTCCGGGAGAATGGCGGTCGAATCCAGGACTTGGAAACCAAGAAGGTATCAGCTAGGGGAAGGGGGAGTGGGGTGTTGGGTGGGAGAGAGCACACGTACTAGGATCTGAAGGTGTATGAGAGCAAGGCAGCTCAGAGTGCCAAGGAGACTTGGGGGAAAGGGGCGAGTGAAAAGCTGAGGGCCAGTTACGGGTCAGGCAGCCCCGCACCCAGCGGGGTGCTCGCTTTTGGGAGGCCTGATCATCCCGAGCTGCTCTGGTTTCTGTGCTCGTGCGCCATGTGTTAGTCATGGGATGTGAAGACCCACTATATGTATATGTAGATATATCTTTTATGTTCAAAATATTGGAGCTGAGGTTGCAGATCACAGACATTAGTAGTGATTTTTTTGAGCTTCAGCTGCAGCCCCGGAGGGTATTTGTGTGAGAAATATGAAGACAAAGTGATTGGCCCATTGATGTGTGTGGTCACTAGGTATTGGCTAGTGCCAATTTATTTATAACAGATAATATAATTGTAATTATACAGGGTTAAATTTAAGTGGTCTCTCTTTCCTTAAAATCTACCTTAAAATCTACATAAAATCTCCCCTAAAAGGAGGGGATAAGTGCTTTGTGTGCCGGGAGAAAACTTGAAGGCTTCAGGTGATCTATAGTCCCTTTTTCCCGTGCCGGCAGTAGATTTAAATTTGTCAGTGTGTGTGTGCGTGTGTGTTCGTCCTTTATGTGCCAGACACCCAGGTCCTAAGGGCGGGAAGGGTGCTGTAGAGCTGCGCAGAGTAGTTGAGGACACAGCATCTTCATTTCATTTTTCTTTCTGTGATCGTGTCAACCCATTATGCTTGTTAACAGTTACTGAGGCATGCGCGGCACCTTCTGTGCTCAGGCATGTCATCCTCACAGCATCCCTACCAGGCACGTTACTGTTGTCGCCCTCATTTCATAAAGGAGGCAACAGCCAGAGGTGTTACGTCACTTCTGAAGCTCTGCCCACTGGTGAGTGGTGGCGGTAAAGACGGGTGGACTTAGGATCGGACCCCAGGTGGTCTGCTCCATGACCCGTGTTTTGTACCAAAGAAATCATAAAAGTATTGTTTCAAATCAAAGTTTTTTAAAGTTAATGAGTTTTAAAAGTTAATTTATTTTGGGTGGAGGTGATCTAGGAAGTAGAATTTTACTAAGTGCTCTGGAAACTATTATTTATGCTTTGTAGAGAATATTCTGCAAATTTAGAACTAAACTGGAGGACTATTCTTGATGTTAAATTCAGGCATAATTAATCCTGAATTTCTATTAGGTAATATAACACTGGAACTTTTTTCTTCCTAGCAGCAAAGTTTGGTAAATATGCTGGCAAAGATGATGGCTCTAGTTTTAAAGCGGCATTGCTCTCAGGCCCTCCAGGTGTTGGCAAAACCACCACGGCCTCTCTGGTTTGTCAGGTGGGTGTTCGGCTGCAGTGTGGCTGGAAAGGTGCGATGTAGGAGTGGGCATGTGTAGGGGTGTGCATGTGAGAGTGCGTATGTGGTGTGTGTATATGTTAACCTGTTGCGCATATACATTCCTGAAATTAAACCTTTAGAATTTGCTTCATTTTGGGGGAATATTTGTCATTTTCATTCTTTAAAAAAAAATTTGTAATTATAATCATAGGTAATATTTGCTTGTATACCAGGCAGTGTATTAAGCCTTTGGTTGATTATTTCATAAATAATAGTCTTATAGCCCCTTATAGACACACATGTCTTATATACCCTTCTAAGAATTTTGTGTACTGTTACCATCCTTGTGTGACAAGTGAAATGAGCTCAGGGATGAAGGTAGTGGCATAGTGTGAACTATATGGGATCCTGCCTTTGCTCTTGTTTTCTCTATGGCTGCTGTTTCTAGACAATGATAAGACAAGCATTAGAGCGAACCACAGTTGAAGTATATCAGAATGATATGAAATGACATATGAAATGGTATCAGAATGATAAAATGAAGGACTCGGAACTTATTTTAAATTTATTGCTGGATTTACCAGTCCTCTGTTCTGTAAACTGGTGGTTTTCTTTGACCTTTGTTGTAGGGATGAGAGCATACATTTTTAGCTGGTGTAAGAACTTTTAAATTTCCACTCTATAAACATTGAAAAAACCAAAGAAATAGATTTTTCTCTAGTATCTACAATAGTGAACATGACTCTTTTCTTTTATTATTGTCATTACCTTTTTCTGGAATTCAATTAAGGCATTTTTTAACGCTTTATGGTTAAGATGATCAATTTTGGGAAATGAACCAGAATAACTTGGTTTTTCATGGTTTGAGAGGACAATTGTATATAGGGATAATTTGACAAAGAATGAACTATTATTTATCTTGAAGTCAAGAATTCTGTATCTGACAGTGAAATCTTGAAATGGTTATATTTATTTTTAAAAGATTTTATTTATTTACTTTAAAAATAAAAAAAATGGGAGAAAGAAAGGGAGAGAAAGAAACATCAGTGTGTGAGAAACATATCGATTGGTTGCGTCTCACACACCCGCAGCTGGGGACCCGGCCTGCACCCCAGGCATGTGCCCTGACCAGGAATCAAACTGATTACCCTTTGATTCACAGGCCAGCACTCAATCTACTGAGCCACACAAGCCAGGGCTGGGATGGTTATACTTAATTCTTTCTAGGACTTTAAGAAGCAAACAGTAAAATTGCTTGTGCAAATATACTCTTCCAGGTTAGTGATTTGTCAGCCAAACTTGTATGTGTTTGTGTGTGTATGGTATGTATGAATACGATATTTTAAAAATCTCATGATTGTAAGGCATATTATAGTTAATCTCATTGTCATCATACTTTACTTTTTAATAATTTACATTGTGATAGTGATAAGTTTTCCAATGTTTTGATTAGGAACTGGGATATAGCTACGTGGAACTGAATGCAAGTGATACTCGGAGTAAGAACAGTTTGAAGGAGATTGTTGCTGAGTCACTGAACAATACCAGCATCAAAGGCTTTTATTCAAGTATGTGACTGAACTGGTTTTTTTGGTGGGGGCGGGTATGTAAGAAAAAGAAGATCATTTCAACGTTTAGTAGCGGTGTGTTATACGAGGCACCCCACTGTATCCTGGGGCTAATGAGAGCAGAAGAAAAGCCTCGGATGTAACTCTCACAGTACAATAGTTACTTTTTTTTCTTTTTTAAGGAATTAGAAATTTCTGAGAATGTGATAAAAATGCACACATGGACATATTTATGTGTTTTGCTTGTGATTTTAGCAGATTCGCAGGTGAATCTGGTGAAAAGGGCAAATAAATAAATAAGTAACTGTATTACATGTGATGAGTGAGGCGATAGAGGCCTGTAGATGGAGTAGTGGTTCTACTTGAGGCATTGGGGAAAGCTACCAGGAAAAGGTAGTTTGCTTGAAGGGCCTTGAAGAATGAGAAAGAGACTTATCTGTGGGTGGAAGGTGTTATTTCTGACAAGAGTAGTAGGGGAGGAGAAGACAACATGAAAGTCCCACTGTGTTGAAAGTTGTGGCCAGTGGGCTAGTGGTCTGGTGTGGCCAGAGCTTATGGGGGCAATTAGATGCCCACATTGCAGACTGAACAGTGCATATTTGGAACCTATGGCCTATTACATTGTCACCTGAATTCTTGGTACTTTCAGTGGTAGAAAGTCATTGTTAAAAAGATGTTCAGGAAACGTCACTGTTACACATGGCTGGTGGGTGTGGGTTGGTACCACTCTGTAGGGCAGTCTGGCGGTATTTCTCAAGGTTATACACATATCCTCTAACCCAGAAATTCTAACTCATAGGTTTATCATTAATACTTGTATATATGCAAAATGACATATACATGGATATTCATTTAGTGTGACTTATGATAGCAAAAGATTGAAAGCATCTTCACATTTTATTAATAGAGATTAAGTGAATTATGATACATGTGTAAGATGGAACATTATTAAACAGCCTTGCAAAATGAGGTGTTCTCTATCTACAGATAAGGAATAGATCACAAAAATATATTAAATGACCGCGCCAAGGTGTATGATTTTATGCAGACATATTTTTAACATGTATAGACTATCTCTGAAAGGATATACAAGAGTCTCTTCACACCCTGCCTCTGGAGAGGGAAGCTGGGTACCCTAGGAGGCCAGGGTGGAAGGGACACTCTCCTCACTATACTCTTGTACCTTTTGAATTTTGAATGTGTTGTTACTTGTTTACAGTGTCATGTAATTGTTTATAAAGCAGTAGCGTTTGAACAGCTGTGACTTTTTTTGGTCTCATCCCACTGCTTCTCCCCGTGGGTCAGGCGGAGCAGCCCCTTCAGCAGGCACGAAACATGCCCTCATCATGGACGAAGTGGATGGCATGGCGGGCAGTGAGGACCGGGGAGGAATTCAGGTAATGGAGACGATGGGCTTTCGCAGTTTTACTGTTGATTTTGTTTTTTTAAACAAAAAAATATAAAGAACTAATTATTAAGCTGTGTTACCTATGGCAATCGAATCATGTTGCTGAGCTGAAAATGCATGCATTGTGTGGTATTTTGTTTTTTAAATAATTATTTTTGTGTTGTAAATTTGCCTTTTAGGAATTAATTGGTCTGATAAAACATACAAAAATTCCCATTATTTGTATGTGCAATGATAGAAATCACCCCAAGATTCGCTCTTTGGTTCATCATTGTTTTGATCTTCGTTTTCAAAGACCTCGGGTTGAACAGATTAAGGTATGATGTTTGGAATTTTTTTTCCCTATCGTATCATTCTATTTATTGAAGGAATAGTTTTAAAATTACCTGATAAATATTTTTAAAATACCTGATTATGTAAGTTTAAAAAAAATCATTGAAGATTCTCCTTTTAGGCTGCTATGTTGTCTATTGCATTTAAAGAGGGTTTGAAGATTCCTCCTCCAGCTATGAATGAAATAATTTTGGGAGCCAATCAAGATATCAGACAGGTAAACTAAATATATGTTATATAACAGTTGTAATTCTTTTGAATTAATGCTTTCAACCTTTTGGGGAGGGGCACTGGTGGTTTTGTCCCATTTGACAGTGTCTTATTTGTGATTCTTTTAGGTTTTACACAATCTGAGTATGTGGTGTGCACAGAGTAAGGCATTAACCTATGACCAGGCCAAGGCTGATTCTCATAGAGCCAAAAAGGATATTAAACTGGTAATAAATGAATTTCCATTTATTTGTTCTTGTTCTGTAGTTCCTTGACACACCTATGGAACCTATGGACATTTATTTATTTTTTATCCTCACCTGAGGATATTTTTTCATTGCTTTTAGAGAGAGAGGAGAGGGGTGAGTGGAGGGTGGGGCGGAAAGAGAGTGAGAGAGAAAGAAAGAGAGAGAGAGAGGGAGAGAGAATCTCCTATTCCTTTTTGACATATTAAGCAAACAAGATGAGAGCCCCTCTTGACATTTCTGTCAAGCCCAGTTCCAGGGCTGGATAGTTATAATAAGAGATACAGACAGCCGCTAAAGGTGTTTCTAATTCATATGAAATTTTTTCAAGAACCATCTATGTATATTGTAAATTTTGAGAAGGGGAAGTTTTAAACTATACATGCTTCAATACTTATAAAATGGCTTCTTCAGAGCCTTGATGTATGGATTTCATTCATGTTTTCAGTGGTTTTGCAACTGTTCAGAATAATCTGTTCTTAATGGTTTATATGTTAATAATCTCCCTGAAACTCGAGGTCTTACCAATTATCTCTGTGTTTTATTTTACCTGGTCACTAGTCAAAATTTATTACAGTTAGAGCAATGAATCAGCAGTGTTTTTAAAAGTGTCTCCTTTTAAAAAAAATTAATAAATTTTTAGAGTAATTTTAGATTCACAGCCAAACCGAACAGATTCTCTGTATGCCTCCTGTCCCCACATACATCCAGCCTTCTCCTCTGTCAGCATCCCTACCAGCTGGTACATTTGTTCCAGCTGATGAACCCACGCTGACACACTGTTGTTACCCCAAGTCCATAGAGTAGTACATTTTATGGGTTTTGACAAATGTGTAACGACAGGCACCTGCCATTGCAGCTTACTAAACAGCCTCTGTGTGCTGCCTGTTTGTCGCTCCCTTGCCCCCTCGCCCCTGGCAGTTGCCAGCTTTTTTACTGTCTCCATAGTGTCACCTTTTTGGAAATGTTACATAGTTGAAATCATACTGTGTAGCCTTTTCAGATTGGTTTCTTTCACTTAGTAATAGGTATTTAACTTTCCTCCATATTCTTTCGTGGCTTGATAGGTTATTTCTTTTTAGTGCTGAGTAATATTCCATTGTCTGGGTATAGCACGGATTATTCATTCAGATACTGAAGGGCAACCTCTAGGTTTTGGCAATTACGAATAAAGCTGCAAAACATCCATGGGGGGGGGGTGTGGGGGTGTGGGGGTGTGTGTGTGTGTGTGTGTGTGTGTGTGTGTGTGTGAGAGAGAGAGAGAGAGAGAGAGAGAGAGAGAGAGAGAGAGAGAGAGAGAGACACGTTTTTAACTCATTTGGGTGGATACCACGGAGCACAGCTACTGGAAAGCAGGACTGAGAGTATGTTTAGTTGCGTAGTAAAGCACCCAGCTGTCTTCCGGACTGCACCTCTTTGCATTCCTGCCAGCAGTGCCCGAGAGTCCCTGTTGCGCACACCTCAGCCAGCGTTGGTTTTGTCAGCATTTGGATGTTGGCCCTTCTACTAGGAGTGTCCCTCTTTCTTTTCAGGGCCCATTTGATGTTGCCCGGAGAGTGTTTGCAGCTGGAGAGGAGACTGCTCACATGTCACTTGTGGATAAATCAGACCTCTTTTTTCATGATTATTCAATCGCACCCCTCTTTGTCCAGGAGAACTACATTCACGTGAAGCCTATAGCTGCGGGGTGAGTGTGCAGAGCTGGTGTGGGTTAGAGTTGGTGCCCTCCCGGTGCGGCAGAGGCCCTGGAACTGAGACGGTGGGCTGTGGGGTGTGGGCAGGGCTATGATCGAGACTGGTTTCCATCCTGCAGGGGCGACATAAAAAAGCACTTGATGCTTTTGAGCAGAGCGGCAGATAGTATATGTGATGGCGACCTGGTGGACCGGCAGATCCGGAGTCAGCAAAACTGGAGCCTTCTGCCCACACAGGTAAGTGAGGTTCTCTCCTTAAAGTGCAGGCTCTGCTTCAGTTGGGGAGGACAAAATTGCTTTCAGCTCCCGTAATTATTTAAAATGCCAGATAAACCTTATGGCCCTTATGGCCAAAATACAGTGTTACAGATTAAAATACTCTGCGGTCACTATTGTCTGTCTGTTAATCTGGTTTCATTTTTCAGTGGTTTATGATTTTGTGTAAATGGACATATGGAAATAGAAACATTAGTTTTTAATCCTAAGATGTGAGTCAAAAGTTTCATTTCCTCTGTTTTACCTTAAGAATCTATTTCTTTTTTGTCATTCTTGGCTCTCCCAGATGATTCCTAAGTAGCTTCGTGAAGAAATGCAGCCAGGGCAGGTCAGCAGCCACTTTCTGATACATGGATTCTGATTTTCTTCTTTCTTGCTAAAGAGGCAGCTCTATACTGGGTACTTTATTTCAGTTGATATCTTTTACTCAAAATACAGTTTTGTAAACATTCATAATTAAGAGTATTTGTTCTTGAGTTTTATGTATTTATACAGTGTTATTGGCCTGAATAATAAACAAGGGACTTCTGGTGGCCTACTCCTCTCTTATTCCTACCCACACATTATTTGGAAAAAAACAAAAACAAACACTCGCTCGGGATATAAAGAATTCTTTCTCATGTTTTAAAAGTGTTCATTTTTTAAACTAATTGTGCTTTTGAGAATTTATCTTAAATTATTTTATTTTTATTTATTTTTAGAGAGACAGGGAGCGAGGGGGACAGAGAGGGAGAGAAACATCAATGTGCAAGAGAAACATCAGTTGGTTGCCTCTCGTGCACCCCTAGTTGGGGTCCCGGCCGGCCGTCCAGGCATGTGCCCCGACTGAGAGTCGGACCGGGAGTCGAACTGGAAATTGAACCAGGAATTGAACTGGTGACCTTTTGTATTGTAGGCCAGTACTCAATCCACTGAGCCACACCAGCCAGGGCTATCTTAAATAATTTTAAAAACAGAACAAGCTTAATGTACAAAAATATTCCCTATGTACAAAATTAGTTACCATGGCAAAAAATGGGACAAAAATCTCCATGTCCAGCAACAGGAGAATGATGAATTATGGTAAATTCTCTTGATTAGAATACTATGCCACCTTTAAAATTATTTTCAAAGATTAACTGATATGAAAAACTTAATTATTAGAAGAAGGCAGGATACAAAATTTATGTATAAGTCCAGCCTTCAAAAAAGTGAAAACCCTGAATATAGAGATATCCAAGGATACCTTTTTCTGCTTTGCTCAAGCATCAGTTTACTTGATTCTCTAGTGATTAGACCTTGCACGCTTTGTTGCACCTGTATTGTCAGTAGCTTATGTTACTTAAATACAGTCATGCTGCTGTGAAACAGAGTCTTTTCTGTGACTCCGGCCTCCACAAGGTAACTGCTGTGTTGAGGTCGGTTGGTTGAGGACGCTGAGTTGGCACGATGACCTCTGTCAGGGCCAGACGTGTTTTGGACCCAGGTGTTCACTTACATAATGAGATGTTTTCTCTGGGACAGGGTTCCCATACCCACAGATCAGAGACAGAGGGAAAGGGCCTGGTTGCCCTGGGATTAGGTAGGGGGGACAATGGGGCTTCGTCTTCCAGGGACTGCTTGGAAGCCAGCTGCTGCTAAGGACGTGACGTTGTGCAGGATTTAAACTGTGGACTGCCCTCGATCTTTTCAGGCCATTTATGCCAGCGTCCTTCCCGGAGAGTTGATGAGGGGGTCCCTGAGCCAGTTTCCCTCCTTTCCCAGCTGGCTGGGTAAGCACTCGTCCACAGGCAAACACGACCGTCTTGTTCAGGACCTCGCGCTGCACATGAGTCTCAGGTAAGTGGTATTACCCCGTTTCTGGCATTTTATCAGTGTCGTGGATTTAGTCGTTACCCAGTAAGGGTAGTGTTAGAAGATTTACATTTTAGTTTGATTTTATTGCTAACTAGATAAATCATCCTGAGTAAGTTCTTTTTATCTTGTGAGACTACGTTTTATTATCTGTCATCATTATAACACTTATATTTATCACTTAAAAGGATACTTTGGAAGAGTAAAGCCAGGTGGTAGACATGTCATAACTCTAAGATAAATTTTAAAACTGTATATATCTGAGATAGTGATATTATTTATTATTACTGTGACCATGCCTATTTTTAGGAGGCATGTAAAATATCTTCACTTCAGAATAATTTAATTGGAAAAGAGAACTGTTTTAAATAAATGAACTGGTTTTTACCTGTCCTAGTAGTAAGCTGACCTAGTTTGGGGCATACAGTTTAGTTTATAAGAGGAAATGGATACTCAGGTGATTGAAAACCAGTGTGCTTGGAGAAGTTTAAGGATGTTCGTAATTCTTGTTACTTAGTACAATTTTGTTAAAGTTTAGAAACTTAGAAACTGTGCATCCATACAAATATTAAGTGAACTTTACGGATTTTATTTTTAACCATGAAAAGCTACTTGAACGATCTTGTTTCCCAATAGTTCACACTGGTCAAGTTGCGAGCCTGCTTCCCAGCTTTCTTCCTGCTTCCTGCCACTGCTTTTTAAGGGTCATGCGTCCATCGGCCAGGGGTGTCCCCTTTGTTGCCCTTGCTGCGCTTGAGCAGATCTTGAGCGCTGGACTTCCATGTTGTTCTGTGGCTGTCCTTTTTTATGTCTCCTGTTGGACTGAGCGTTTCCGGTGGAGGGGACTGAGGCTCACTCATCTAGCACATAGCATTGCTGAACAAATGTTTCTTAAGGAGCCACATACAGGACACTGTCGTTATCAAGGACATCTGCAGTGCGTTTCTCAACTTTTAAAGTAAATTAAAAGGCTCCTATTTAACTTTTAAACGCTGATTAAGTCACTGAACTTTTATAGGCCAGGCTTCTCTTTATCTTTAAAAATGGATGCCCTGGCTGGTGTGGCTTAGTGGATTGAGCGCCAGTGTGCAGATGAAAGGGCCGCTGGTTCGATTCCCAGTCAGGGCACATGCCTGGATTGTGGGCCAGGCTCCCAGTAGGGAAAATACGAGAGGCAACCACACATTGATGTTTCTCTCCCTCTTTCTAACCTCCCTTCCTTTCTCTCTAAAAAGAAGTAAAAATCTTTAAAAAAAAAAAAAAGAAAGAAAGAAAAATGGGAAAGTGTGATTTTATTACTCTTAACCTTTTTTGGGTTCTCATAGATGCCTTTGAGAATCTGAAAGCTTTGATCTTTATTCCCCCCGCCCCCAATGGCTAATGTACAAGTATAACTTTAGGGGAAGGAATACATTTCTGAGGATAAGAATGCTTAATTTAGATAATACCTTTAGACTTTTCTAGATTTAATGTTACGTGATTCTGCTAGAAGGTATCAATTATTTAACAGATTACAAGAATAATTTTGGAAAAGCTTTCATGATTGTCTTGGGTACTGTGGTTCACGGACTCATACTGTCTTCAAGTACTGGTATGTTTGATTATAAGGGACTCCAGAGGAAAGGGGTGAATTTAAAATAGCAGCGTTGTTTAAATTCCTTGCCTAGGTAATAATAACAGTGTGGGGCAAGGTTCTAGAATTCTGGTAGGAGAACTATGTGTGTTCTTGTGATTTAGACATTCAGTTACCTGAAGGCAGGAGCAGGACCCATAGGTAATTTTTAAAAGGACTTTTCATTTCATTTCCTTTCCTTTTCTTCCCTTCCCTTTTTAAAAAAAAAAATTATTAGAGTGACTGATTAACAAAATTATACAGGTTTCAGGTGAACAATTCTACAACACATCACCTGTACACTGTGTTGTTCATCATCCTTCCTTTCTGATTTTAACGTGGGCTCTGAAACCAACGGCTTTTGAGGTCTCTTGTTTAAAGCAAACATACTATAATTGCCTGGCTTGAAGGCGGAGGCAGCGGGAAGAGTCAGGGTGGTGGCATTGGAACCGTTATTTTGTTCAGCTGTTTTCTGTCTTTAAGCAACAGCATTTAGGAGAAAGAAAAACAGTCATTTCATGCTATCATTCTAGTTCCAACCACTTAGAGGCTGTTTTCCTAAGTCTTTCCCTGGCCAGTGTGTGGGCCACCCTGTGACTCTGCAGGGACATTCTCTGCAGGGTGTGGGGTTTGTTTGTTTTTTTGTTAAAGATTTGGGGATAACCCTGCTCTAGAACTAAAAATTTAAGAGTAAGAGCATTAGGAAATTTGAGGGAAGCATTTTCATATAGAACTTTGTATGTTGTAACCCAGAGATGGACAGGTGCCTCCCACCCCTCATTAATTTTCCCACCTTAGGCAGGAAATCTCACTGCCTTTCACTGATGCTTTTAGTATTTGGAACTGGGAGGAGGTAACCTTTGGCTACAAGAAGTATGAGCACAAAGACACTGTTGTTGCCGGGGCTTTAGGAGTAGGATGGAAGCAGAACCTTCATTTGTGTTTTGCTTTCTCTAATCCAGGTAAATAGAAAATTCCCCTTGAGCATGTTGGTGTCTATACATCACCCTGGTCGGGTAGCACTAAGCTCTCTCCACATCCACTGTTGAATAGTAGGCATTCCATTGAGCATTATTAAAAGTGATTGAACTCCATGTGATTAACTCTGTTGATATGCACACTGTGGCATGAATTGGTGGTAGTTTGCCATTGACTACAGGTGTGTGTCTTTTGTTTTGATTTAAGAACTTACTCCAGCAAAAGGACTGTGAATATGGATTATCTGTCACATATAAGGGATGCACTTGTACGGCCCTTGACCTCACATGGGGTAGAAGGAATACAGGATGTTGTTGCCCTTATGGATGCATATTATTTGATGAAAGAAGACTTTGAGAATATCATGGAAATTAGCAGCTGGGGAGGCAAGCCTAGTCCTTTCTCCAAGCTGGATTCCAAGGTAACCTGTATAACCCACTGGTTCTCCATCACTTTGTAATTACCAGTTTCGTACTGGGAGTACTTCAGAGATGTGTAAACAGGTTTTAAGAAGGTTTAGTTTTTTTCCTTCAGTGCTTTTTGCTTCTTGTGGCCTGTGCTTCTAAATACACCATTTGAGTACAATATTAAGAAAAGACTTCTGGATTTGACTTTACAGTTCGTATGTTTATTTTTGCTTTACGCTGAGTGGAAAAGAAAGATGTGAAAAGCTTAGGAACGAATATTCCTTATGAATAAGGGTGAGTGAGATGAGCCAGGTGAAGTAACCTCAGGTGGTGGTAGTGCGTTAGGAAAAGAAAGAAATGTTTGCTGTCTGAGGATTTTTATGCTTAGCCTGTCTAATCTGTGGATTCAGTGTTCCAGTTGGACAGTCTGTTATGTGTAACATTGTATCCCCTACTTCCTTTATAAAATGAGTATGAAAAATCTAAAGTGACATAACATGATTACATAATATCCAATACCTCACTCTGTGCCTGTTTCCTTGATGCTGTTTTAGAAGGCATTCTCTGTGGCTACCTTCCCCAGTATTTTGACCTGATGTAATGGTTATGGGTAATTTCTCACAAGACTCTGCAGTTCAAATTCATGAACTAATCCTGAGAATATTAGAAGCTTGATGTTAAGGCTTTTCAGGTTATTTAGTATATTGAAGTAACCACTATTAGTAAAGTTATTTTGTGGTAGTTAAAGGCCAGCTTTAACTAGTACCCTATTGTGAGACTTTTTTTAGATTTATTGATTATTGACTAACTTTGCTTATCACTTTGTAGAACTGCAGAACATCGAATGGTAAAAATGATGACTTAAAGTGACTTTTCCTGGTCTACCTTAAAGTTTCCAAATGCTGACTCTTATCTTTTTGAGTCATGGACTCTATTAATAATATCATGAAAAATATGGAACTTCTCCATAGAAAATGCTTTTATATATACTTGTACACACACACACACACACACACACTCACACTCACACTCACATGTATATGCATTAAATATTTTGCAAACAATTTTGAAGGGGCTTTCAGGGTCTTTCAAAGCCTTTAGGCCTACAGAGTTCAAAAGGACTACTTGGCACTCAGACTTTTTTAAAAACTCCCTCTATTTCTTTTCTTTAGGTGAAAGCAGCCTTTACAAGAGCTTACAATAAGGAAGTCCACCTTACTCCATACTCAATTCAGGCAGTAAAGACACCCAGACACAGCACAGGCCCAGCACTGGATACTGAATACAGTGAAGAGTTAAATGAAGATGACTCTCAATCTGATGAGAAAGATCAAGACTCTATGGAAACGGATGCTATGATCAAGGTAGTATTTTAAGCTACAGAGAGGAAAAGAAACCTGTGATATCCCCTCAAAATAGTTTATCTTTTCTGGTGTATAATTTGTCTTCAGAAATTACTCAGAGCTCATTTAGTAAGTAAAGCTGTGAAAATACGTTTATCAGAGTTGAGGGTGAAAGAAGGTATAGATTTCATTTTTATAAACAGCTTCATACAGTAGTGGAAGAAGCAAATAGCAAGAAATCATACTGATGGACATACGCTGTTAGAAAAAGTATGATTATTATTTACTTGATCATTGGTTTGTGCTTTACGCACAGACATGCATGTTCATAGCACAACCAAGAAAAGCATTTTCAGTGAAACCATTTCTACCTTCTGTTGTGTTTTGCTATAGCTAGCCATTGAACTACATACAGGAGTTTTTTAGAGCAAAGCACCCTTATCTTCTGATAGGACAGATTGGAATCATTTACAGTATCAGCCCCCTCTTTGCCATTGACTGAGGCAAAGGACTATAACGTGTATTCTCTCTTGTGAGTGTATCATTCTTGCCCGTCACTTTTTTAAAGTGATTTTTTTGAGAGAGATAGGAAGAAAGAGAGTGCGCAAGTAGGGCATCAGTTTGCTATTCCACCCACTTGTGCATTCACTGTTTGGTTCCTCTGTGTGCCCTCAGCAGGGACAGCACCCACAGCCGTGGCCCGTCAGGATGACGCTCTCATCCACTGAGCTGCCTGGCCAGGGCCCCTCACTTTGGTATGTGCGGGAACAGTGGCCTTCACCAGTGTAGCTGTCCCCCTTGTTTTAGTCTTAGGTACACGTAAGAGGTGGTCTCCCCACCGCTCCTCAAACTGAACATATTTAGCCTCTCGAATCTGAAATGGAAAGTCTTTTACCCTGTTTGTAAATTGTCTTGTTTGTTTTGTCTTTCCTAAATATACCTTTGTTATAAATCCAAGAAACTGCATACAAGGGGAACATATCTTAGTTATTGATTCTAAAAAGCTTTTTAGTTTTTACTGCTAACGTTTAAAGGCTACTACTAGCTTAATTGTTTCTTGAAAGTATATAGGTAAACCTATTTCATTTACTCATAAACACAGCTATTAACTATTCTGTGCATCTTTTCTTCCCAACAGAAAAAGACAAGATCTTCAAAGCCTTCAAAATCAGAAAAAGATGAGTCCAGAAAAGGAAAAGGAAGAAGTTCAAAGAAATGAAACCATTTTTCACTACTGACAGTCACTTTGTACTCACCCTGTTGACCAGTCCAGCTGGTCTAGAGGATGCCTTGTTTTTCCAAAGGAAAGTGAATGGGGCAACTGAATGGTCCCATTCTGAGTAAATGGTGGCACAGCGAGAATGACGCAACCAGTAGGCTAATGTACACACCTCTTATAGAGGTTGCTAGGACTGCCCGGGTCCTCCCGCTGTCCCCGTCAGCCTAACTAGGTTGTGCTGCACCATGCCCGGGAACAGTGGCACTAAGGTGACTTTTCTAAGCTTAACAATATATCCTAATGGCCTTTATAGGACCAATGCTGATTTTTTAAAAAGGTAGTTACTATTATGTGGTGAAATTTTGTAAATAAATTATAATACAAAACAGTCACCACCTAGAACTGGGTATTCTTCGTACACTTCCAAGTATCTTGCAGAATATAAATTGGGAATAAAAATGTTCCATATGACACATGTACAAATTCTTAAGATTGTGATCTTGTACAGTAAAATATTATGTTGGTACATGACTTTCCTTATTAATTTGCAAATGATTGGATAAAAAAAGTTAATTTTACTACTAACCAACCGGTTGTGGGAAATGTGACTTTGGTAGTTGAAGACTTAGAGCTCTTAATTTCAAACCTCACCGCGGCCGTGAGTGTGGATCCCGTCTCTGCTGTGGAGAGAATTTCATGGTGAGGCCCCTTCACTGTTACTAGAGGGTGCGGGTGGGTGGCTGCAGAGGCATGGCTCGGAGTTCTTACCCTCCCAGGGTCTGAGCCCATCGGGTTCAAACCCCGGGGGCCTCAGCCAGGTGAGACCCAGTCTCACTCTGGCTTTGGACCGAATGAACACTGGCTTTTGTTTCCTTAGTCCCTGGGGGATCTGGCTCTGCCCTGGGGTGGATTCCACCAACCCTGCTGGAACTTTAGGTTTTACCTGTACTTGTGGAGGGGCCCTCAGGCTGTGGTGCTAGCCTGGAATTTAGGTGTCTAGCTATTTTTTAATCTTGACAGTAAGTGTTCAGAGGGAATATGCTGAAAGGAAGAAAAAATCAGGATAATTCCTGCCTCTAAGGAACTGAGAGTCTTGTTTGGAAGATGAGACAAGCATTTAGTGTGTATTTATTGTGTGAAAAAATGTCTTTCATGTAGATTAAGTTCATTGTGGGAACAAAAGTTTGCCTTCAGCCTTTGGCCATCGAGCCCTGCGCCTCCCCTCGGGCCTGGCTTGAAACTTCTGCTTCAGGGATGACGGCCTCCCCTGACCGGGGGCAGCATGAGCTCACCTCTCCTCTGCTTTGGGATGCACTTGGCCCTGTGTTCCCCAGGAGAGGGCCCATAATGTCCTTGCAGTTAGAACAAGGAATAGTGTCCTTTACTTGTTCATTATGAGTTTAATGATAAGTGCTCTACACACGATTAGCATAATTTGTGTGTAAGGTAAATGACTTTTGGAATTAGAGATTGTAAATCTGCTCTTTAAAATATGACGAAGTGGTCTGTTTGAGTCCTCTTCAAAGTCTCTTTGTGACCACGAGGTGTATGACGGAGGTTAATGCTGGGTAGCAGTTGGTGGGTCTGCAGCAGTTTGGATGTGAGTCTGAGGGGTCTGTGCTGGGATTGTGTATTTAGAGGAGTGACCAATAAATACTTATTGGAGTGACTAGCTGCCGTACTTCATTTTTGCAGCTTAAAACTGTGTGCTTTTTTGGAGATGCATTGAATGTTGGCCATTTGGTAATGTATAACAAACTACTATATCCTTCATCTTGTTAAATTTTGGCAGTTCATGAACAGGGAGCATTGTTGTATGTACTTAACACTCACAGATCCCAAGAGCCTGTAGCTCTTATTCCTATGCCTTTATAACACCCCTGTAGTGATAATGGAAAAACAAGGAGACTCTGGGTGGGTTTGTTGATAATGACTTGTGTTAGATCACTTAGGAAGGCCAAGGCCTCTGGCCTACTCTCTAGCTCGCCTTTTGCGGGGGAAGAGAAGAAGCTGAGGGTGTCATGCATGTGGGTACTTGGATGCTAGGAACCCCCTTGGCTCGCAGGTTCCTCTGTAGTGCTCAGGATGCTGGCAGCCATGCTGTAAAGTCGTATCATCTGGAACATTCTGAGTTAGGCTACATTACCCATTTCTGTTAGCTGCTTAGACTTTGGTTACATTGGTCTCGGATGGCCAGGAAGGGTGTAGGAAAAGGATATTGTGTCTGACATGCATGTGGTATGTGATAAGGGGAATGAATGCCGTGACCACTCTGGGGCAGATTCTGAATAACGTATGTCTCCGGGCGGTCAAATGATTTAATTTTCAACAAGAATTCCATAGTATGCAGAGAAACAGCTCAGGACTGTATACTGACAATATGCTTATAATGTCATTCTCTCAAATATTTGATTTTAGTGATTTTTGGTGTTTTTATTTAAGGACTGATTCTACTGAATAGTCTTGATTTGTGTAAATTTCTCATTTCAAACTTGTAAGGGCCCAAACTGCACTAAGTGCTTCAAAGTTACCTTTCTGTCTCCAAATCCAGAAAAACATTACAAATATCTACTTAACAGTTTTATTTTAAAGGACATATTTCAAAATATAAAAGTTATCAAAAAAGCTGAATATTTACAATTATGTCATAGGATACTATTAACAGTACAGAGCATATGATATGTAAGACTTTGAAGAGGAAATATACAAAGTGTAATAAACAGCGTTACATGTTACCGTTTGTCACTCTGTGGAAGGTGGGAGTGGCAACCTGGAAAGGTCACCTTGTTTCTTCTTCTGCATCCAGGAAGGACCATCTCTAAATCCACAGGGTACAAAGACAGCCTCCTGTGATAAAATGCTATCTTCTCAGGGTCATGTCTAGAAAGAACGAAATAAACCCACATGCCTTTAGACAGGTTTCAGGTAACAACCAGCATTTAGTAATAACGCTCAGCCCACTAAAGACATTTTTTTGCTCATTTATGGACGGTGGAGCAGGATCACTGCGTGCAAGTTAGAAACCCTCAGTCTGGTCAGCACTGCGTCTCAGGCGTGGCCTTGCCACCGACCCAAACTGTGGTCAAGCTGTTGACCCTCTGCCATAAAGTGGGGATGACAGTGGCCTTCTTACAGGGAAGAACGGGAAAATGCAAGGTAAGCGCCCAGCAATCCGCAGAGAAAAAACTTTCACGAAACGATTTTTGAGGATTCCTTGTCTAAAAGGAGTCAATGAACAAAAGCTTCAACCACTACTCATTGTATAATAAAATACTTAAAGTGACTCTTGCAAAAAGCTGTGCATAATCATACCTGAGGCATATCCACAAGTAGTACAATACCATGGTCTAAAGCACGTGTAGACTCCAGAGAGTCTATGTAGATTATTAAAAAACACAAGGTTCTACTTTTGCAAGTGGCAGTTGCAAATTAATCCTCCCACAAGTAATATTTGTCCTCAGTTTGTAACTAACTAGAGCAACGAAAAGTACGTAGAAACTGGAAAGGTGTCAACCCTTGAAAGAAAAGAACTCTACTGGGTAAGATCTTCGTACAGCTTTCCCCCTGCAGGCAAAGCCCTGCAGGCATGGAATGACTAAATTTCAACCAGTGAAATCATAGTCTTTTTTAGCTTGAAGAGTCACAGAGGAGTTTGAGGCTGCCAGAAATACTGAAAGTTGAAGGAGAATATCCTGGAAAGGCAACTGCTCCAAAATCTGCATATAAACTTCATGCAAATCCTTGAACTTTATAGGCTTGGAAAAGACTCACTCACGCGGGACTTGAAGCAGCCCAATTCCATGCTGTGGGGAGCACCATGTAGGAAAACTGAGGGCTGCCTCTAGGAGCCTGGGGCCTCAGTCCTCTGACCAGAAAGAACACAGTTCTACCAACAATAGGTTTGATGAAGACTGAGCCTCAGGTAAGAGAGCACCTCCCGCCAATGGCAGCCTTGTGAGGGCTCCCTGAATAGAAGACCCGCCGAACCGGTGCCTGTGAAGGTAGACTGTGGGTCACGATGGCAGCATGGAGGCTTCAGACCTACTTTCTCACACAGACACAGCAAATCTACGGCTACATACAGAACAATTCCTGCTGAAAGAAATCCAGGATCTAGTCAAGTGGTGAATGAGAAAACCACATTGAAATGGGAGAGGCTGAGAGAATCTTACCCAAGACCCCACCCCTGGCAGGCTGTCCCACAGGTCCCAGCTTCTCCCTGAGGAACCAAGGGCTTGGGCGCCAGGGCCGGTGTGCCGAGCTTTATGACTTCCACCTAAGAAATGGGCCGCTAAAGCATCTAGCTTTGAAAGCCAGTAGCTCTTGCATCCAAGAGAACCCGTGGGATTGCAGGAACCCACCGAGGCTAAAACCCCAGGGCCCAGCACTGATGCAGCAGACCGAAATGCAGCCAGTCTCTGTGAAAGAGGCCTACGGGCTTAGCCTAGACAAGACAGCCTAAGAAGCAGGCTTGTAATTTCACATACATCTAGGAGCCAACGACATTACTCCCCAGACACTGGAGGCCGGCAGGAACCGTCTTCCTACTCTCCCTCTGCCCTGACCACGGTCTCTGGTATCTCCCAGAAAGGAGCTTGTGCATAAATTTAGTGCTCTGGTTTTTGCTGCTGCTTTCCAGGGTACACCCTTTAAAATGGCAGGGTTTACTCTCACAGGTCCCCCTGGACTGAAACAGAGAAAGTGTTCTTAACCTGCCATCCCCCTCAGGCTCAACACAGAGGCAGCAGTCAGAAGTGCTTATCTTAATAGCTGTGGCCTGCGGGCCGGCTTTCAGTCAGGCTGTGTGTAGGTCCTGAGGGATCTTGGCATACCCTCAGCCACTGGGAGCTGCAACAAAGAAGGCTACTTAGACAGTCAGAAGGGTTTGAGAGACAGCCAGGAGCTGGGGCAGGGCTGGATAAGGTCCGTTCCCTACGGGAGAGCACTCCATGACAGGGAGAGTGGCCGTTTCATCTAAGGCATAGACACCAACACAGAGTCAAGGAAAAGGAAAACAAATATGTTTCAAATGAAAGAACAGGATAAAACCTCAGGAAAATAGCTTAAAGTGAAGATAAGTGATTTAACTGATAAAAAGTTCAAATTAATGGTCATAAAGATGCTCACCAGTTCAGGAAACCAATGTGTGAACAAAGCGAGAATTTCAACAAAATATATAAAGTACGAAACAAATTAGACTTGAATACAATAGCTGAACTGAAAATTAAAAGAGCACGGTCCAGCAGCAGACTCGATGGAGCAGAAGGCGGCATCGGCACACTAGGGGCAGCGGAGCTCATCCAGTCAGAGCAGCAAAAAAGAAAGTTGACTATAGCTAAGGGACCAATATTTGCATTATAGGGGTCCCAAAGAAAAGAGAAATGCCTGCCCTGGGGAAGGAACAGACATCCCGATCCAGGAAATCAGAGTCCCAAACAACAGGAACCAAAAGAGAACCACGCCGAGACAGGTTATGATTAAATTGCCAGATAATTAAAGGCAAGGAGAGAATCTTAAAAGCAGCAAAAGGAAAACAGGGATGC